AAAGATCTCTTGAAGAACAAGATCTTGGAACTTGGGTCTGAGTTAAAACTGATGATTGCATTGATATTGATGGGTTCCCTGCTTATTTACCAAAACTAAGATTTGATACCGTTCTACTCACATTTCTTTCTAAAAAGATAAATTTGTAGGAAATTATGCTGAGATGACTTTAATCTTCTCAATTCATACATGCGTTCCATTTACAAGTTCACGAAAATTATGCTGAGATGACTTTAATCTTCTCACTTCATACATGCGTTCCATTTACAAGTCCACATTTAAGGCGGAGATTCACCGCATTGTTTGTTTGCCTATTGCTTTCTCTAAGGAAGGCTTTGAAGTCTTTGGGAGTTCCTGCTACATCGCTGCAACAAACGTTACGGAGCGGTTCTGCTCTAATTATCTCTAGAGTGTAGGGAGGCAACACGATTATATGATCATTTTCAATAGCTATGTTCTTCGAAACATTGACATCAGCGCGAGTAAGTTTGACTGTCTGATGGCCTTGACTGAGGAGCTATTAAGTTCAGTGCGCAAATGCTCGTGGATCAAATCGTATCCTAACAATGGTTCTGACTCAAGATTAACGAGTAGAAGCTCCTGTTCGAACGCTTGAGCAAAATTGCTTTGCGCTACTACACATTAAAGGATCTATTTCTTTCACAATCGTTCGAAACAGATGGCCACGGCATAAAGATTTATAAAAATGAAAAGTAAATACAAGGTGAGCAAACAATTCCGATTGATTTCGAAAAAGTATAGGTACAGGATCGCAATTGCGAGAAAATTGCAGAAAAACTGCACTTAACATAATTTACAATGAATCACATGTATTCTAATGTTTGTATTGCACTAAACGCAACTTTGCAAGTTGTTGTTTATCCTTCAAGTCGTTTCTTTACAAGGCGAACGACTTTTCGGCATTTCTCAGCTCCATTTTCAGCTTGTCGAGCTTCCTGCAAAGAAATGTCGCTATGACATAATCTCTCCAAAAAATTTGGGTTTTTCGCTAAACTTGACATAAAAATTGGATAAGTGGCGGAAGAATTGGATAATCAGTTCTGGTTATGTATCGTACCTGTATCGTAATTCGTGCCGGCACCAATCGGAAGATGAATGTTGGATCAATGAACTGACAAGCGTAGTTTAGCAAGTTGACACAGGAGATTCGCTCTTGGATAAGACCACTTCGGCATTCGGATTCTTCGCTGAAAATAGCTCCGTAACAAATCCTTGACTTTTTATTTCATAACTCAATTTCTGCCTGCTTGAACAACTTGCATATATTTTATCTTTCAATTTTAAGTGGAAAGAGACTCTATACGTGCTAACAGCTTCTTAAGGCGAGATCGAAGTTTTCAAAATGGGCAATGTGCGGAGGAGTAAGAGC